GAGTCTGGCACAAGAGCTATCTAAATGCCAAAGGGGAAGCTGGTGTTAGCAACTGAACATCAGGCATTGTGCATAGCACTGACATAATCCTGAATAACCATTAGTTATTATTCCTGCTTTATAAGTACTGTAACTCCAAGAGGTTAAGTAACTTGCTTGTGGTTCTAAAGCCACTAAGTGATGAAGTTGGAAATGAAACCCAGATCTGTCTGACTCAAACGCCTTGCCATTTCCATTACATACAGTGACACCTTGTCTCTGGTGCCCCAAACTCCCTGGTCCAGCCTCAACCTCTATCCACTGTCAGGAGTTAAGCGCCCTTCTAACCTTGTTCCTGCCAAAATGGGCTCTAAGAAAAAATCTGAAATTGACAAAGGATGGCATTTGGGAAAGAATATTTGATTTGCTGTCCAAAGACCCGGGTAGATCAAATCTTGGCTATGCAATATCATATCTGTATAACTTTGGGCAGATCATTTATTGGGCAAGTTATTTATTCATTGGTTATTTTTTAGGCCTCAGTTTCCTAAGCTGCAAAATATAGGTGAAAGTGGTTTTAAACTGTAGAGCTCGATGCAAAGATAAGATGATATTATCTTATTGTGAATTTAAGTCAGTGTGTTGCCTTCCATAGAGCTCTTTGCATTTTGGGGCTTTTATTTATAATCGTTCTACTTAAATTTATTGCGCATCAGCTGTGTGTGAGTGTTAATGGAAAATTAAAGGGTGCGTAGGACCTGAGGAAACTTAAAGTAACTTTTTGAGAAAGTATCTTGTCTCTTACGAGGAATTTCCAAGAGCAAGAACCAGAAGGGTTGCATTTTGCCAGCAGAAACAGAAAGACCATTCTCTGTGTATCTAAAAAACAACATAAAGGAAACATGTTCTTAGGGACAAGAGAATTTCTAATGTGAGATAAGGTATTAAAAATCTTTGATACGTAGCTTTGGCATTCAGAAGTTTTACACCTTCACTTCCATTTCCATAAATACCCTTGTATTTAGTACATTTTGCAAAGGGGAGGGTTGTGTTGAGGCTCAGGCTCTTCATCAGATTTACAGCCTCACTTTGGTCAACTAGACTTATTCCTGCTTTTCAGATAAGAAAGAAAATGTTCTTTATGTCATAAAGGGAATAATATTATAGCAAATAAGGAAAGAAAAAGTTCTGTGAGCTTTGGGAATGAAATTTGCTCTGAAATGTTATTCGTTGAGCTTTCCACAGTATTGTGGTAATTCAGGGACTAACAGCATTCCTTAGAGGACTGGAAGGAAAGTTTCAGTTATTTAAAAACACATAAAAAATAGAAAATACTAGCTTGAATATAAAAATCACAAATTGAAAAATGTAAAATTAGATTAGGCCATTCACTGCCTTTATCCCTGTCCTTATGGATATACTCCTGGGTATGACACACTTTTGTGCATAGCAGGAAGCTTAGAAATTTATCCAGATTAGAGAACTCCCAAGATTCTGCACACTCCACTGTTCCCAGGATTGTGACTGTTCAGGGGCTGAGGGTTGCTAGTCAGGTGTCAGTCTTGCAGGTGTGGATCAGCTAACAGTAAATTCAGTAGAGCCATCCCAGAGAAATATATTAATAAAACCAAACCAAACCTGTTGCCACCGAGTGGATTCCAACTCATAGCAACCCTATAGGACAGAATAGAACTGCCTCATAGGGTTTCCAAGGAGTGCCTGGTGCATTTGAACTGCCAGCCTTTTGGTTAGCAGCCATAGCTCTTAACCACTACACCACCAGGGTTTCCAAATATATTAATACAAATTGCCTTTTCTGTTTTCCAATGAGCTTTTAACAAAGAAGGTGCAGTTTGGAGTTTTCTGTTAGTTGAACACTTGTGCTAAACTCTGCACATTAATTGCAGTGCAGTGTTATGAACAATAAAATTGTGGATTTATTTCCCCCCTCCAGATCATTTAAATTGTTCTTTGTTGTACCTTCCTACAGCTGAAGGTTGTTTTTGTCCCAGTGGAGGGTGTCAAACGAATGAGATCTCACAACTTTCGGAATGGAACTAGAGGCAAAACTAGCTAGAGTCTTTGAATTCTGGATCAGAACCAGGGTATGCTAGGCAAGAAGCCTCAATTCCCAGCAGCTCCACTATCCACAACATCTATTTCTATAGTTGGCACAATTCCACCTTTTTATTTGTAAAATTGTTCCCATCTTTGAAAACACTTTAAAAAATAAAGAAGTCCCCATTCTGTCTCTTTCCACTCCCCAACACATGCATTTGTAATTACCTGGTTTAGTCTGTGTGTTTAATCAGTTTAAACTGAGAATGTTGTGCACATCTGATTTCAATCTGAAGGAGCCATTGAGTATTGGGCAGTTAACCACCCTGTGTCTGCCAAAATGTGCTGCTGCCAAAAAAAGGATAGGACTCACACCAGGGTATTTCCTAAAGAAGCCACTTGACTCAGATTAGATGTTTAATTTCCTTAAAATATTGTTTTGGATTTAGGTCTCTGTTCTCTAATTGGGATTTTCTGATGTAATTTAGGAATACCACTTATTTGCCGAGTTTATTCCAGGATCCAGCTGGCTGGCATTCTTCTAAAAGCCTAAACCTCAAGGAAGCGAACTTCGTTCAGAGTGCTGAATGTCATACCTTACTGCTCTGAAGGATGGGCCAGGCCCATGCTTGTTCACCTCTTTGTGGAACCATTATACATGCAATGAGATTCAATGAATTTTTAGAGAGAAGGGCTTTAGTTGTGGTAATGAGGCTTCTGATCATAGGTACACATCTTTTGAGATACTTTCTTGGTTAAATTAGAAAAAAATTACTCGGTTCCATACTGATTATTAATTGTAATTCCATTTTTTATTTCTGACATTGACCCATCAACCAAGTTGCTAGATTTCCTTAGCTCTTTTCACTTAAAACACCTCCAACTGCTCAGAGTTTCAGAGATTTTACCTTTTTGTTTTTTTTTCTCCTCATTAGGCCATAGTTTCTGAACACTAAAGAAATTAATATACAGAGTTGGGCTCTTTCTGAAGGCTTTAAACCAGAGTTCTTGAATTTGCAGGCATCTTACACTTGAAAACCTCTTTTGCTGTTGCTGTTAGCTGCCGTTAAGTTGGTCCCTGACTCATGATAACTCCATGCACAATGGAATCAGACTGTTGTAATCCATTGTGTTTCCGTTGGCAGATTTCCAGAAGTAGATCACTGGGCCTTTCTTCCTAGGAGCTTTTTTTTTATCCATTAGTGAAGTTAGAATGACAGCTAAAAATACCTTTGTATATTTTGTACAATGGTAAAGCCGTACATATTGGAGGGATGGGCTGACATTCCACAGGAATATTTTCAATAAGCTTATGAGCACACCTGAAGCTGCACACCCAGCATTCTGAAAGCAAAACAAATACAGGGAACACAGTGGGAAGATTTTTAATATCTATCTATATTGGGATTTTTAAAAATTCTGTTTTAATTGTGACATAACCACATACTGTCATCTGGCTGGGGTTACCAAATTATAGTCAAGAGTTTGTTTGACAAGAAAATAATCAAAATCAAGCATAATAAAGAATAAAAACTTTATTGACACAAAACTAATATGACTTGATAAAGCCTTTTCACAATGGGGTTGGTCTTGCCAGAGAAACTACCAAAGTTTAAAGTCAGCTCTCTAAGTTTTCATCTCCTTCTGGAAGAGTTAGTAAGGGCACTGTCAGAATTCATCTCTTTTCCCTCCCTTCTTCCTCCCCTAGAACATATCACATATCTCTCTAGTAGGTGGCATTGCGTATCTGTGCTCTGATTCATGATGTAGATATCTTACAATTTAAATCTCAAGGAGCAACCTTATTTCCTCTTTTCTCATGTCTTGGAAAGCACCACTGATACTGGCAAAAGGCTCACTCGAGTCTGAGTATTGTACTCCTTGCTTTTAGATGAGCTTCCATGTTCTCTATTTTCCCTGCCTCCCAGAGTTGCTGTAAAGAGCAGTGAGCTACAAGAGCTCCATCAGCTGGAAAGCATTGTGTACAAACACAGTGAGTGTTTACTCAGTTTGATATTTGTACTTCTTCAAAGAAAAATTAGCCATGGTCTGATTTATTCCACAAATATGTATTGAGCACGTGCTATATACTAGGCATTATTCTGGGTACTTAGGATGTATCGATGAAAACACAAACCAAAGATCCTGCCCTCGGGTAGCTGAGGTAAAGGTGGGTTGTTTGGAGACTGTCCTAGCACTTGGTTATGAGGTACAATGAATACCAATTGCAGTGGGGGTGGAGGGGGGTAAATGCATGGAGAAGTTAAAGTGCCTTGCCTCGTTCTCTTTAGAATCCCCTATCTACTACATTATATTCCTTTGCATCTGATATAGAGTTCTGGCAGTTCCTTTGTGAGTCCTGTTATTTATCTAGGAGGAAGAAGTTTCCACCCTGAGTGATGTGGTTGAGTCTAACTATTGTGGTAATATTGGTGTTAGAAGGGAAAACAAAATGAATGGCAAATTTAGATACCAAGATAGCAAAGCTGAAAGGAAAGGATTTTAAATTAGAAAATGAAAAAGCTTCAGCCATTTTGCTAGATGCCATAACAGTTGTTGGCAGAAGAGTTTGGACAATTATTACACTAGGATCTGCATCTTCTTTGTGTTTAGTGTATGTACACATGCACTTGAATTTTTCATTCTTATATAACTAGTTGCTATGGAGTTGAATCCAACTCATGACGACCCTTTGTGGGTCAGAACAGAACAGTGCTCCATGGGGTTTTCAATGGCTGGTTTTTAGAAGTAGATGTTTCTTCTGAGGTGCCTCTGGGTGGACTCAAACTGCCAACCTTTTGGTTACCAGCCAAGCGTGTTAATCATTTCACCACCCAGGAACTCCTCTGATTATATACTTCTTGAAAATAAGGCCTCAGTGCTGCCTAGCATATTTTTATCAGATGTTAAGCTCGACAGTGTATTAATTTGAGATTTTGCTTTCTCTTGCCATCTCCTTTTAGAGTTGCTGGAATTGTGGCCGTAAAGCAAGTGAAACCTGCAGTGGCTGTAACACTGCCCGATACTGTGGCTCATTTTGCCAGCACAAAGACTGGGAGAAGCACCACCACATCTGTGGACAGACCCTGCAGGCCCAGCAGCAGGGAGACACGCCCGCTGTCAGCTCCTCCGTCACACCCAACAGTGGGGCTGGGAGCCCGATGGACACACCACCAGCAGCCACTCCGAGGTCGACCACCCCAGGGACCCCTTCCACCATAGAGACAACCCCTCGCTAGACGTGAACTCAGAACTGTCGGAGGAAAGACAACAAAACCAACACGAAACCAATTCCTCATCCTCAGATGCTCAAAGTTGTTTTTTTGTTTGTTTATAAACGAACTATCATTATTTCAGTACTTCAGCAAGAGAGGACTTACTGTATCTTGAGGTGGTAGTAAAATACAGAGGGCCAGTAACGGGTCGTAATGACTTATTGTGGATAACAAAGATATCTTTTCTTTAGAGAACTGAAAAGAGAGCAGAGAATATAACATGAAATGATAGATTTGACCTCCTCCCTGTTATTTTCTAGTAGCTGGGATTTTAAACTAGATGACCTCATTAACCGATGCTTTACCAAACAGCAAACCAAGAGATTGCTAATTGCTGTTGAAAGCAAAAATGCTAATATTAAAAGTCACAATGTTCTTTATATACTATAATGGAAAAAAAAAAAAAAAAAAAGAGGAAAACCCTCAAGGGCATGAGCATTGGATACAGCAGTAGACATTTTAACAAGAAGATGAATGGCGTCCGTGGGTTGCTAACTGAACTTTGAAGACCCGCTACAAAACGCGCAGATGTGCAGCAGATTGGAAGGAGACACAGATGTTCGTGTTTTTTTTTTTTTTTCCCCCTGTTTCTGAAAAGAAATAATATCCAGGTCAACACAATGAAAAATCGAAAGATGATTTGCAGTGGGATGTATGAATACAACAGCAAGAAAAATATTGCCATAATACAAAAGGCTCCTTTTTTAAGTACA